TATCTTATTTTCATATTACGAAGAGGAAAGTCAAAAATACTTGCAAGATCCTCTCCCCAAAATTTTGGAATGGAAGGTTTTTACATTCTCGTTTTATGAAAGCAAATCAATTTTTCATAAATCTGAACAATTTTGTGGGTTATCACTTGAAAAGAAGATAAATTTGAGCAAAAATAGCCTCTCCTTTTCTCAAAAATACTGTTTTTTAAAAACAAAAATTTGATATGATTTAATGAAAACCTCATCAGCTCTTCAAAATGCTGTGAAAAGTGAAATCAGGGAAATGTGAAATTGCCTCAAACATAATAGTCAATATTTTCTTATAGAAAAAAGTTGCTCTTTTCACACGGTCCCAGTAAAGAGTCATTTCTGTTAAACTGTCGAACAGGTCATCGAGATAAAGATCCATGAAACTAGATCAGTGGTTTTCAAACCCAGTACTGGGTCGCGGAATGTAAGGCACTGGGTCGCCGTGGCTTTGGTCAGCACCACCGACCGGGCCGTTAAAAGTCCCATCAGCGGTGCTGCCTGGATAAGGCAGGCTAGTCCCTACCTGTTCTGTGCCCCAGAAGCGGCCAGCAGTAGGTCCAGCTCCCAGGCGGGGGAGCCAGGGGGCTCCACACGCCGCCCCTGCTGCGAGCACTTGCCAATGGGAGCTGGGCAGGCAGTGCGAGCAAGAGCCACAGGGAGCTGCTTGCATGCCTCCGCCTAGGAGCCGGACTTGCTGCTGGCTGCTTCCGGGGCGCAGTGTGGTCTGCGGTGCCAGGACAGGCAGGAAGCCTGCCTTAGCACTCCCGCTGCGCTGCTGACCGAGAGCTGCCTGAGGTAATCCTGCACCCCAACCCCGTGCACCAATCCCCTGCCACAGCCTTGAACCCCCCCCCAAAGCAGGAACCCCTTCCTGCATCCCAAGCCCCTCATCCCCAGCCCCACCCCAGAGCCTGCACCCCCAGCCCAGAGCCCTGACCCCCTCCTGCACCCCAACCCTCTGCCCCAGCCCTGAGCCCCCCCAAATTCAGACAACCCTCCTGCACCCCATGCCCCTCATTCCCAGCCCCACCCCACAGACCACACCCCTGCACCCCAACTCTCTGCCCCAGCTCTGAGCCCCTCCCACATCCCAAACCCCACATCCCCAGCTCCGTTGGGTCACGGGCATCAACAATTTTCTTCAACTAGGTCAGCAGAAAAAAAGTTTGAAAACCACTGAACTAGAGGAAACATATTTCCCTATTTGTAATGCATAGAGTGCTACTTGAAATCACAGCGTGGGCATATGTGATTTTAAGAATATTTTTTGTGGGAGGATCTCGTCATGATATTTGTATTCATTTTACTGACACTACTGTAAATTAAAGGTCACTCTTTCAGTAGTTTTGTTACCAAAATAAAGCCACTGCCTAACCCATTTAATTATTTATCATTTCAGCTTATTATTTAGAGTTCTTTATATTAATGAACTCCAGTAACGAGACTGACTAGTGCAGAAGTAATGAGTTTGTGATCAGAATAATGAACTGTCCTATTACATAGTGCGCATGCGCACACACTGTCATTGCAGTATTCATGAGACCTTGCTTAGTACAACACTGAACTCCAGTTTGTACTGAGCCTGAATCTTCTATAACCATGCTTTACCAAACAAGAAATAGTAATATTCTTAAAGATCTGGGTGATTGCTGAAGGAAGTACTTTCAGAAGTTAAACATTATCCTAGTTCCATGATAAAAGCTTCCATCTCCCCCCTCCACCCTAACCCCACCTATTTATGTATTAAAATGAATGTACATGATAATCTATGGAAATTTGTAATGTAAACTTTGCTTTAAAAAGGACTTAAATTCAGTTACTACCGGATACAATTTTAAGGCAATTAAGAGCAAGCAACCTGTGATCTTTTATGTTGACTTGAAGTGACGCTCTGTGTTGCACTTCCTCTTGAATCTATATGCTCAGTGCTGAGGACATGTGTACATTTCTTCTCTGAAGTTATTTCCCAGTGAGCACTGACTACCACTATAAAAAACCTGGTAAATTGGGAACACATTTGGATTAATCCAGATTTATGGTCAGTCAGAAAGGGGTTATATTGTACTTTGAACGGAAACTCTGAACATGAAACACAATTGTCTGGATTTATAGCACAGAAGGTCAATATTTTTCATATAACTAAAAATCATTGATAAAAATGAAATGAATTTAAATAAAACTTTCTACTTAGCTATTCAGGCTAACAACAACATAGCTGTAAAACTTAATCAATGTAGCCAAAGTGATGTGATACGAATAAATTAGGCAATATAATAAAAGCTTTGATTTCTTAGAAGACATACAATAAGACTAAATCTATTAAAATTTAAAATTAATGCTTTATAAAGAATTTCCCTTCCATTTTATAGGCAAGTTATGGCCATTAACATCATGAAATACACACTTCTTTTTGAAAATTAACAATATCGAACGATAGAATGCATGATGACTAATACTCAAGTATTATGTAGTATTGCAAAATGCTTATTATGAGATTTTTTTTAACCTTCCAATTATTCTAAATGTACTCATCCTAGATAAGCTACTGGGCCTACTTGTACTCCCAAAAATCCTTTAGAAGTCAAGTCTACTGTGTTTGACCTACCACTGTACATGTGTATAAGGACTGATACCTATTTTTGACGCTTCAATTTCTGAGTAGAATATTCTTCATTAGAAATGGACTTTGGTCTAACCATGCAGCCAAATGGCACATGGAAAAAAAGCAGCGGTTTTCTTATTAATATTCTGAGACATTTTAAATTCTCTACTCTTGCCTCCAAAATTTCAGCATATTGTTAAATATGAGCTGTTTTAAATTTTGTTAATTCAAAGAACTGATTCTGAAATCCTTGAAAAGTGGTGCTAGTATGTATAGTCTAAAGACGTGGCTGTTCATAATGAAGAGGGGATCAGTAAAGAAGTATCTCTGTAGATTACTTTAGATGTAGAGACGCTCTTGTCTCTGGATGGTTAAGATGATCAGTTCTGATTGGTTAATGGTTCTCTTGTACTCACCAATATATTTTGAGCCAATTTCTGCCCTCAGTTACTCTGATGTAAATCAGGATCAACTGAACTGACTCCAGTGTAGATTTGTACTTGGGTAACTGAAAGCAAATTTTGTCCTACCGTCTTTAAAGCTGGAAGTAAACTCATTGGGCTAAAGCCTGCATTCATTTATATCTTGTATATTTACAGAGAGGCCAATGACATTATGTCAATCAGCACAGATTTCGATCCATTTAGATTCAATCCCCAAGTAAATTCAAACAAACTAAATATTTAGAGGCATTGAAAGTTTTGTGCTTCATGCACTTCGGCACTTTAATATTCCCTTTTATTCACAGCAATTATACATGGTTCAATTTCAAGTCTTTGTTTTGTTACCGGTCTTGGTGAGCTACTTCTACGTAGATGACACTCTACAACGAATCTTTTTCACAGGCCTTCAAACATCCATTATTTTAGAATTCTTCTGTAGCTTCTGTGATTTGAGTAAAATTTGTTTTGAGAAAATTGAGGAACAAAATAATATTTAGTGGAAGATGATCAGTTTAAGGGATTATAGAATCACATTTTTATTTATATTATAGCAAGTCATATTAAGACAAAAGGGGCTTAACCCCTCCCCCCCAAATATGATATCCTTGGTACTTGTAACAAAATGCATTTGGAGCTAGACTTTTTAAAATACGGGTGCTAATTAGGTAATTTAAATGTCTAAAAAACTAACACAATCAAGTTAACAAAGTTTGTTACTGGTGCTTAGATACCAAGCTAATAGATACCTTAAAATATTTAAGATAGTGTCACTCTGATTTTTAGATACAGGGTGAATTCCTGGCTCCATTCAAATCAATGGGAGTTTTTCAATTGGTGTTAGTGAAGCAAGGATGTCACCCCAATTTTGCACACTCAAATCCAAGCACAAAACGGAGGCCCTGTTAATGTTGGGCCTCAAATTAAGTAAAAATAACTGAAAATATATACCTTATCTGGTGAAACATATTGTGAAACTTTGGCTTGGGAACTTATTATTTTCCCATTAACTATATTCAGAGTTTGAAATTATTATTGTTTATGGAGCACTATAGATGTACATGGAACTGAACAGAAAATGAGTTGTGCCAGAGAAGTAACACCGTTACTATCAAGTGCTTCAAAAACTCAAGTGTGTGCTTAACTTTATGCACATTAGTAGGCTGCTGAATTCAATGAGACCACTAAGTGTAAATCTTTGCAGGGGAAGAGCCTTAGACTGTAATAGGATGAATGGGTCCAATACAATATATTGTGAGATTTAGTATATTGCAGAACAAAACCCAAAGAGGTATATAGTCTTTGTATCTAAATGTTTCGTGCAGTGCAATTGTAAATAAAAATTACTGATCTGACTGAGCATCAAGCTAGGCTTTGTTACCTCAGTGTTGCTTCTGCTTTGCTGGTATCATCAATCTCTCAGCTTTTAGTACAGTGCAACCAGGTGTTCAAATTCACAGTGGGCCAAGAATTAGTCCCTTACATAATGTGGAAAGTAAAACCTATGCAATGTAACTCATATTCCAAAGTAAATACTGTTGACAAGCACAAAACTGCTGAACTAAATAATATTTTTCACTGATTTTTCAGGAGTACCTCAGCTGCAGGGCAAAATGCAAGGACATGAGTCGTTGACTTCCTTCCAGCATCAGAGCCATAGATATTAATCTATATTTCAACTTCAATCTACAATAGCTGAAAACACCTCACCACAAAACAAATTAACCCATGGTACTGATGGACAGTTTTTGTAAAACATATTTTAAGAACTTTTGTTGAGATCTATTTTCTACTTGTGGCACAATTCTATATTGTTACTTATTGGGCACTGATGGTAGCTTTCAGAAGGTGCTGCTTCAAATGGTCCACCTCCTCTTTTAGCAAGAAGGAACTTCGGGTCTTGGATAGTAACAACATCTGCGGGAAAAATGGTATACGAAGGAAAGCGGCTCGTCTCCTGCCATTGTTTCTTCCTATTAACAGCCAAATTCTACTGGATACTCAGTATGATGCAAAGAACTCATGGCCAGGAATATGCCCACTCTATTCGACTGGATGGGGACATCATCTTGGGAGGACTGTTCCCTGTCCATGCAAAAGGGGATAGAGGGGTGCCTTGTGGGGAGCTGAAGAAGGAGAAGGGGATCCACAGACTAGAGGCAATGCTATATGCAATAGATCAGATCAATAAGGACCCCGATCTTCTTGCCAATATCACTTTAGGTGTCCGGATCCTAGATACTTGTTCCAGGGACACTTATGCATTGGAGCAGTCCTTAACGTTTGTGCAAGCTTTGATAGAGAAAGATGGTTCAGATGTGAAATGTGCTAATGGAGACCCACCTATTTTCACTAAGCCAGACAAGATATCAGGTGTAATAGGTGCTGCTGCAAGTTCTGTATCCATCATGGTTGCTAATATTTTAAGACTTTTTAAGGTAGGTAAAGTTTTCTACTCTTCATTTAAATACCAACCATCATGATAATAAGTAATATGACTGTGGCATTTCCATTTTCATAAATAAAGGGCCAAAATCAGAAGTTCTTGCCTAGTTATTTCTCAAACAAAGCATTGAGCAAGGATAGACGGCACTATTCTTTGAGATACGGGGTGCCTCTTGCGAAGTGCTAAGCACCCTCAACTCTCGCTGGCTACACTAGGCGTTGCGAGTTCTCAGCATCTTGCAGGAATCATTCAGTACATCATCCCTGGGCAAACACTATGGGATTTCACTCAAACTGTGTAGTTGTTAATATTATGACTGCCCTACTGTTTAGTCCAGTGGACAGATTACATGTATAGCGCCACTGACTGCAATAGAGCAAAAGGGGCTTCTCATGTATGTAAGATGCTCAGGATTTGGCGCAGGGTTATCAATGTTTGCTTCATAACTTAGTATTTTCAAGGGTCTAGAACTCAGTAGTTAAATTTCATCTCGGGGAAACTGTTTTCTTAAAAGGGAAAATTCTGCCAGGAGTTACACCCCTATATAGAGTCTCATCTAATCTGCTAGGAGTTAGGACCATTATTAAATATATGATCTTTTTAAAAGAAAACAGAGTTGTCCTTTTAAGAATTTTTCTGTCTTGGGGTGAGTATCTGGCAAGTAACTAGACCATAAATCAGGCTAATCATGCTGGATATTTTGAAAACAAAAATTCTAAGGGTATGAAGTTTTATAAATTGGCTATCACACCTGTATTATTTCACCATCAGATCTGAGAGTTGAAAGGCGTAACAGGGAATCCCAGGGATACTTTCACAGGCCAGTGTTTTATATTGGATGTGTACCTGCTCCACATTGGGACAAATGGATCCTCATCTAGGAAATGTTTTGACCAAAAAAGGGGACAATTGTACTATGTTGCCCCACTAGCTGAGAACTCACTGTTCAAAGCCTGGGATAAATGTTAGGCCAGTTCACTTGAAATATTTACTCATCGTCCTCAGCTGTGGTGCAGTTACTGTAAATGTTGCATACCTGTATCTGCAGACATGTATTTGTTAAAGTAAGGGTTTTAATTGAAACACAAGCAGCTGCAGTCAAGAATGTAAGATAGACTTGGCATATACTCTTGAGTACTTTAGTTCCACAGTTTTTTGGGGAGCAGTTTGAGACAGATATATTCACATCCTCATATGTCATGCTATTTAAAGTGATATCATACAGTTTATTAAAATCTACTGTGCTAAAAATTCCAAATGGAAGAAGTATCTCTTGACATAAACATACTTATATATAAAAATGAGGTATGCAATATGGCCTGATTCAGAAAAACACTTAAAGTGATTAAGGACTGAAGTTTTATTGTCATTTTATTGACATTTAACATAAAGCTTAAAGTTAATAGTGAATAGATGTCAGATTTCTTACATATTTAAGCATGTGCTGACGTGCCTTGCTGAATTAGGGACTGTGCCTTTTTAGCTTCAATGAGATATGTCACATGCTAGTGATAATATGACCCCCTTCTCACATGAGGCCTATTCCAAAGTCCACTGATGTTTTCAACTTGTGAAATTTCACAGCTGTTGGATGGACATAATGAGTCCAATTTTTGTTTAACTAGTTAAAGACTATACTTTCCAGATTCCTCCTTGGTTTAACTCCCCTGATTTAAATGGAATTACACCATGGATGAATTTGACTCAGAAAGTCTGAAAATATAACAGGCTATACATTATGCATGCAAAATGAGCCTGCTTCCATGGTTTTTAAAGGGTTTGGGTCAGGCCCAATATGCAAAGAGGGTACATATCTTCACCTAATGGGATACAATAACCTTTCTAGAAATATTTTCAATTTGGTCTTAGTGAAAAAAAGAGGTTAAATATAAAAATAACATGAAAGTTATACTCGGACCAGATTCACTCTTGCTTTGCACCTTGTGGTATTATTTATGTATGTGCACGGTGGTTGTAAAATGCTACCATTCTGATGTGATACCATTTTGCACTCACTCCGCACATGTATAAATGACTACGCAAAGCTGCAAGACTATAGACCATCAGGCCCATGATGTCTTACTGTGACAAGCACCCCCAAAACATTACAAGTAGTACTTTGTCAATAAACTGATTATGACTGAAAAATGAAGTCTGTTGGAATGAGGCGAGAATGGAATGTTGGCTGTGTTTTAATTCTTTATTTTTTGTCATTGCTAATCTTTTTTCTGTATTTAATTCTATGTTCTTCAATACTAGATCTGACCCACTTTGCATATTTCCAAGACAGTCAAATGAAACGTTTAAATATAAATCCATTTGTAGGAGGACCAGATAATTTCTCTAAATGGGAAAATATGCTTGTAATAAACTAGTGATTTGATTTGCATGTCTAGTCAAATGAAGTGTTACGAAGCATTGTCTCTTCTCTTGAAATCTTAATCTCTCCCATAAATTTCACAGGGTGATATTTTTTCTATTCAGACTAGTTACCAGTTTTGGCAGATCACTTCAGTCCAAGAGTTGTGTTGACATACTATTCTTTGTCTTCAGTGTGCTTTAGTACGTTCTACAGTATAAACAGTTGAAAGGTGAGCCTGCCACATCTACACTTGTCAATTTGGATGGACGGATGAATGAATTCTAATCAATAAGCTCAGTTGGAAGTGATTGGTCAGCTAACATTTAATTTTAAATTCTGCTTGATGGTAAACAGATAATGGTAAATTGAACGCTAGATGCTTCCAGTACACACAGTGGCTGTAGCTTCTGTCTGAAACTGTTACTGTTCCATTGCCTGTTAATATTCATGCTGATTCCTTCCATTAAAACGTCTTATCTCATTTCCTTAAGACTTGGTGCCCATTGAAACCCATATAAACCCACTGAGTTCAGTGGTGCAGGAACGGGCACTTGTGTACTATCGAGACTATTGAGCTCAGGTGTTTAGACCGCAGTTATATAGCCCTGCAGCCAGCTGACCTGGGCCAGTGTAGCGGTGCCGCAGGTCTTTTATCACAACATAGACATACCCAGAGTGTCACGGGCTCTGGGGCTATACAATTGCAGTGTAGACATTCGGGCTCAGGCTGGAGCGTGGGCTCTGGGCCCCTCCCCACTCTGAGTACCTTTCCCAGACCCAAAGAAGAGTTCCATGTAGCTTGAAAGCGTGTCTCTCTCACCACCAGAAGTTGGTCCAATAAAATATATTATCTCACCCACCTTGTCCCTCTAATATCCTGGGACCAACATGGCTACAACAATTTGCTTACTATAACCATTTTGAAAACTATTATCTTCCTTGTTATTTATTAATTTTGGTGCATGTTTGACTGTTGAAAAAATCATAAGAAAGGAAGGAATTTGAGTAGAACTTAGGGTGACCAGCTAGCAAGTGTGAAAAATCAGGATAGAGGGTGGGGGATAATAGGCACCTCTATAAGACAAAGCCCTGAATATCAGGACTGTCCCTATAAAATTGGGACATCTGGTCACCCTAGTAGAACTTGAATGTCTTCTTGAGGCACTCTGAAGCTGGAGTAGAATATGTTTTCAATCGTTTTAAGGGGGATTTCTTTCTGTCCTTTCTTCTGGCTTTACACTTCAGCTGAGAAGCAGCCTGTGCACTGGAGACTTGTTAAGTCTGTGTTGTAGGCAACAGGTTGATCTCAGGCCACAGTCACTATGAAAATTTGAGAGCGTGAGACTTGCACCGGTCAAATTATTTGCTAACTCTGAAAGTCAAGGTACACAAACGAGATTGTAAAATGTTCTATATTGATAACAGCCTTTTATTCTTTTGAGTTATGCCTGGTTGAATTCCTGTCTTTACTGGTAATAATCACACTGGCTGTTGAATGTATCTCTTTTTAATTGATGCTCTTTTTGAAGTGGTGAACCTATTAAATAATACATAGCTCTGAAGTAATGGTCACTTTAATGCCTTTCTTAATGCAGAGTCACCTAGATTACCACTTCCACTCTTTGTTACTATTGAAGACAGTGTAGTAGACTGATTTAAGAAACTAAGCCTTGTAAGACATGTATTAGCTGTGAATTGAGAGCAGCAAGAAGGAAAGAAACCTATGAATTGTCTCAGATACCAGTAATTTGTCTTCTGAAGCCATGACAGCTAACTCCTGATTTCCATTATGCAATAAGATTGCAAATAACGTTCCGCTGCAGACTTAATCAATATAGCGTCACATGGCACCCCTCTGGGGAAAGCTCCTATTGACTCATTTAATTGATGTAACACAGTTGCTGGTGAAAGAAGGAGACATCTCTCTTACATTTAATTATAGACCCTGCACAAATGCCCTTAATGTACAAATTACATAGGATGATTTTTAATGTTTGCACTTTGGACTGGACTCAGAAGGTTTGATTCTGCGACCCTTACATGAGTAGCCCCATTGACATGAGTGGGACAACTTGCTTGATTAAAGGCTTCAGGATCAGACCCTATTTCAGTGCCATTTTAGGAAATATTCCCAGTGATTTTATGCAAGCAGAATAGAAACATAATAATTATTAATATTTAACATTAATATAACACCATAGGGGTTCATGATACTTTACAGGAAGACTTGGGGCTAGATTCTCAGCTGGTGAAAATCCACATAGCTCCAGAGGTGAGCATAAGGCCCATAGTCCTTGCCCCAAGAAGTTTGTGCTCTAGATAAGAAATTAGTGCTCAATAAATGTCACTACATATGGGGCCAGATGCTCAGCTGATGAAATCTATGTAGCTTTATTAAAGTCAGTGATCACCACCATACAAATCTATGTTCCACACTATTTTCAAGATACATGTTATTCACCCATATTCCAACCATAACAGTTCTATTTAATAGCTTGAACCTGTAGTCTGAAGTCCAATATTACTTTAATGTGCACTCTGGAGCTACTAAATGCAAGGGTTGCATACTTTGCTAGATCTGCATGTGCAATTTATCAAGTGGAAATCTGTGATGAAATTATGGGCCATAT